TACCCAAAACAGTTAGGGTAAAACAATGTTATCCCTAACAGTATGGAACCCTTAAAAACAGACAGAGGTTCAAATTATAAATGGAATACAGCATGGATAAGCCTGAATGTATGCAGAGCTCCTTGGCATATGAATGGCTCCTTGGCATATTAATAAAATTTCTTTACCTCTATGGAAGGAATTCTTCCTTTGTCTACTATCAGTAGAGATAGTTATGGCAGTACAGGAAAGAATTTGAAGAATCAGAAGACATGAACTTGCTAGTAGCTAGTTTATGAACTGAATTATACACTATGCTATAGCATTTCGTCACCAATAACTTCATTTTCTTCTTGGATTCTCCATCTGCACGCTTCTCATACAGGTTGTAAAGCTCCTTCCTTTGTCATCTCACAAGATATGGACAAACTCAATCATAATTTCAATTGGGAAATTGCAAGCATCCTAAAAAAAAAAAAAAACACTAGGCAATTCCTGGAAACTTACGACTCAGACAAATCTATCATCAATAGACACATAGATATAAAACATATTTATATACCATTCAAAAGAGACAATAAAGAAGCTAAGAAGGAAACAAAAAGACCACATCCTCTCCAGCCGCCACCCCCTAGATAAGCAAGGATTAATTCCAGACAAAGAATCAAGCGAAAGCAATATCTTAATGAGTAAACTACTAAGAGGAAACCACATTTGCAACAACACTGGCAGGGCAAGCAACTGTATATAAACAGGGAGCAAACCTCATATTCACTAGCATTGATGATGTAATGAAATGTCTGCAAACAAACAAGCAAACTGAGAGACCAAGGGATCCTTTCTTTTCTGGGAAAGTTTGCCCATGACACTGAAGCCTATGAACTTCCTTAAGATTGTCAAAATACCATTAAAAAGTTAGGTCTTGGTTTAAGTTATTTTTCTCAGATAGAGCAAAATTACTGTCTCTTTTATTTAGTACAAGTAATTTCTCAACTTTCAACCGTTCCTTTAACAATTCTTTGAAGTTACAATGGCACTGAAAAAAAGTGACTTACAACCATTTTCACATTTACAACTAGCCTCTTCATAGTCACATGATCAAAATTAAGGCCTTTGGCAACTGTCATGTATTTAGAATAGAGAATAGAGCTGGAAGGGACTTTGGAGGTCTTCTAGTCAATCCTCTTGCTCAAGCAGGAGACCCCATACCATTTCAGACAAGTGACAGCCCAGTCTCTTCTTAAATACCTCAATGTGTGAAGGCAAGCTATTCCACTGGTTAATTGTCCTCACTGTTAGGCAGTTTTTCCTCAATTCCAGGTTGCTTCTCTCCTTGATTAGTTTCCATCCATTGTTTCTTATCTTGCCTTCTGGTGCTTTGGAAAATAAATTGATTCCCCCTTCTCTTTGTGGCAGCCTCTCAAATACTGGAATACTACTATCATGTCCTCCTTTTCTTTATCTTCAGATCATGTGATGGCCATTTGTAACTTTCTCAACCAGCTTCCAAAAAGCAAAATCAAAGGGGAAAGTTAATAATAATATATATAGTTAATAATAATATATAATATATGATTAACTTAACAATCGTGGCAAAAAAAAAAAAGTTGTAAAAACCGGGCACTCAACAAAACCGCCTTGTTTATCAATGAAACTTCTGCTTCGTCACAATTGGAAGCAGAAGGGAAAGCTCAGAGCAGAGATATTTTTTCAACGCTCACTTTGAAGGAACAAAATAATAGATGAGGTGCGAAGTTCCGTTGCTGGTTTAAGCAGGGTTTTCAAAATTAGTATGTTATTGCCCAACTAAAACTCAGGCTGAGGTAGCTGTTTTATTACCAGTTTGATCCTTTAATTCTTTTTCAAAACCTTGCCCTATCTGGTTTCTACCTTTTCTCTGAAAAATAAGAAATTGAAAAGGACATAGAAAGGAAAGGTTAGCGCAGCGAGAAATCAGTGAGAGTGGATAGGTTATGAACTGAAGTTTAAAAAAAAAAAAGAGCACGCATTTTTTTTTTGAATTGATAAAGGCCATTTGCACGCAGAAAGTGCTTGCAAAAGAGTGCCCGGATAGCTCAGTCGGTAGAGCATCAGACTTTTAATCTGAGGGTCCAGGGTTCAAGTCCCTGTTCGGGCGAAAATGATTTTTAATAGAAAATCACACCCAAAATTATCTTGCGGGAAGCTCAAAGGATAAAATTGGAAAAAGAACGAATAAAATTCCGGTTGTCTTTTTAAAATACATAGGAAGTGAAGAACTTTAGTTTTAAGTCCGTCTGTATGTCGAGCAAACATCGGCGAAATTAAACATATGAACTACATAAGGAAAAAGGGAGGGGAAATTTAAGTTCGGAATAAAAAAAAGGAAAAGAAAAAAAGACACTCGCCCGAACAGGGACTTGAACCCTGGACCCTCAGATTAAAAGTCTGATGCTCTACCGACTGAGCTATCCGGGCTCCATGTTGAGTGACTCTGCAAAGATGTTATATGTTTCCCCAAAGGCACTATTCCAACCGTAATTTTGGAACAAGAGATTGTTTTCGCACAGCGGAGGTTTCCCTTACATCCGGCATGGTTATAAATGTTGTATTAAATATAAAGACATAAATAAATACATTTGTTTCATGTATAATATAAATATAAATGTCGCATCACTTCTGGGACTATTAATGCATCTATTGCTGGTGATTTGAATGAACAAATCCAGCAGGAAAAAAAATCAGTTTAGAAGAAAAAAAAATATCCTTTGGTTAGATGCCAATAGTTGCATATTCATGGCTTTTAAAGCTTGAAAAATTTACCGACAACCTGCAAGCTTAGGAAAAGGGTATGATAACCATTTACCCTTCAGATAAATGCAGGGTAGTCTGGTACAATAATATTTGTTTGTAAGGTGGGTGGTACTGACCAGTCCTGAGCGCACACAAAAGCCCTTGATGTAGGTTGCAGTCTGTAAGAAAATATTTCAGCCGATTGAGATATGTGGGTCCATAAAACACCACAGCTCCAGGGGCAGTCGTGGTAGGCAAAGAGAATACAGGTAATCCTCGATTTTGTTCAAAGTTACAACGGCACTGAAAAAAGTCACTTATGACCAGTTCTCACACTTACGACCATTGCAGCATTCCCCGTGGTCACGTGATCAAAATGAAGATGCTTGGCAACCGACTCATATTTATGACGGTTGCCATGTGTGGTGTGTGGGTGTGTGACGTGATCATCTTTTGGGACCTTCTGCCAAGCAAAGTTAATGGGGAAGCCAAATTCACTCAATCAGAGTTTTGACTAAATTTAACAACTACAGTGATTCACTTAACTGTGGCAAGGAAGGTCGTAAAACGGGTCAAAACGAACTTAACACCTGCTTCACGTAGCAACAGAAGTTTTGAGCTCCACTGTGGTCCTTAAGTCGAGGACCACCTGTACAGAATAGAAAGCAAGGATTAAGCAAGAATTGAACCCGCAAATTTATAGAGTTCTCGACTCTTCTCATTTCTGCAGTTTACGTTCAAAGAGTTTACGCTCCAAAGCCAGGCTTCCTAGGAAGTTTCTCTTACTCGTCGGCGCCTCTGCCGGAAGTTTGAGGCGGCTGCTCCTTTAGGGGCGCCTCCGCTCTCTATGATCTGGACGGAAGAACGTGGAGCTCCATGTTAACTCGCAGGCGAAAAGGCGGCTTCCTTCTTTACCCTCCCAAAATAAAATGGAGGCGATGAGGTCCGCTTGAAGCTTCGGTCCTCCTCCGAAACAGTTTAGGGGGGAAGGCAGCCTTGAGGAGCTTTACCGTGAGTTCAATTTGAATTTTTTTTGCAGCCTCTTAAACTGCCAACACGGTGGGACAGATGCCGAAACTGGTGAAATATGAGTGCGGGGAAGTTGTTTAAAAGTGGAAGGAGCGAAGAATTAGGCGGGAGTGCAAGAGAAAGGATATGAGGTCGCGAATTGCATGCAAAGGTTCAAAAATACTCCAGGCTGGCCTCATTTTATATACTTCTCCTGGCCTCCAAGTAACCGAAGATCCTATAACTGTACCCACTCCAGTGCCTTGTCAATTTTTCTGCAGGTCAGGTAGTGCACAGTAGGACTATAATGCTTCAGCCTAGATTGCAGAAAGGTGTATGGGTGCAGGTGGGAATACGGAGAGAGACCAAATATATAGTTGCTTTAAAGCAGTGTTTTCCAAAGGTGAAGTCCACTTTAAAATGTGTGGACTTCAACTCCCAGAATTCCCCAGCCAGCACTGGTGCAGAGTTTTAAATGGGCAAGTTTGAAAAATACTGCTTTAAAGAGTTGTGGATAGTATACGCCTTTTCTGAACTGTTTGCAAAGCCCTCCATAGACCAAGTGGGTAGCACCTGATAATTGAAATCTGTGTATCTACCTTTGTAAACAACAAAAAAAGTTTGAATTACTAATTATCCTTATATAAAAGCCATGATATTGCAGGCTAACTCTGCCCATAGCCAGGAGTTCAATCCTGACCAGCTCAAGGTTGACTCAGCCTTCCAACCTTCTGAGGTCGGTAAAATGAGGAGAAATATGCTGACATTGTAAAACCACTTAGGGAATGCTGTAAAATGCTATGGAGAGGTATATAAATCTAAGTGCTATTTCTAATGAGAATAGCAGAATATTTAAAATGTTTGGGACAATGGTAGAGCCTGCCATTTTGAGCTGTAAACATTTTACACTGCCTTGTTGAACATGGAATGATGTTATTTGCCATTTCTTAATAAAAAATATTCCAGAAGGGCATTAGGGATTTAGTTTTCCCTAAATAGGACAGAACAACATTTGGTTTCTTGGTTTGAAACAGTTGATAAAATGAGCCAAGAAGGGGCTCAATTACTGCATGTCTCTTGTTAATTCTGCTTATCCCATCATATTTGATTGGAGTTAGCATGGTGTGTGTTCCATCAGGTTGTGTCATCCAAGACTTAGGAATTGTGCTTTTGCTGTTGTAGCATTTACCTAGTAGTATAGCTTGTCCTCTCAAGATTTGGAGAACCATACCCACTATTGATCTGTAAGAAGGTTCTCAAGAAGGCCAATATTTTTAGTAAGCCTATTGGTTTTATTTTCATGATTGAACAATTGTTGTCAATATAGTTTAGAAGAATAATTCAAATATTTTATAAAATTTATAAGTTTTATTTAAAAATTTGAAAAAATATTCATTTTTTCTGGATAATGACTACAAAAATTTTCAACAAGCATAGATCTTTTGTGTCTTTTCTTTCAAAACCAATTTTTTTACATTCTTTAAAGAGATTATTGACTAGCTAGAAAGTGCTGTAGTAGTGCTGTAATAGATAAAATTCATTTCTCTAACCCATATGAATGTGTGGGATAAATAATTAAAAATGAACTTACTTAAAAACCCAATGGTACCACTACAATTGAGTATCTTTTATTCCAGGTATTGCTATGTATGAACAAAAATGTAGTTTTTGTCCATTGATTGTTAGCATAAAGACATTTCAAAAAGAGGAGAGACTTAAAATCTTACTGCAGGATGAAACTGAAAGGAGACAACTTTAATTTATTGTAATTACCATTCTTTATTCTCAGCAGGTGGCAGTATTTAGCTGACCTTATCTCAGATCAGAAATGAAGCATGGTTGTGACTGATTAGTACTGTAGTGGAGACAGGAAATTACAGACTCCTACTTCTTTCTAGTCTAGTACCTTAACCTATTCCAGATGAGAGCTTTTGCTAGGTTCTCACTTTGTACTAAGATGCAGTTTGACTTACTACAGACTTACTTTGATGTGAGAAGTAGCCACCATGTGAGTAATTGAAGTATCAGTGGCAAGACTCTACTTTGTATTCTCTCCATATGTTAGATTAGTAACTGAAAAACTAAATGGTATCTCTTTTGACTAGGGACAAAGTAGTTAGTAAACATAACATAGATTAGAAATTTTCTCTTGTGTATGCTTCACTGAAAAGGCTTCCTTTGGTAAAAGTAAGTTTATTTTAATGTCTGCTGTTGCAATATAGGAAATACTGTGGTTTCTTTTCTTTTCGTTATTAGAAGACATTTTTATTCAAAGTATATAGGAAGACAATATTCCATAATTTTATTGTGGATGATACACAGTACTCACATTATGCATTTAATACTATGGTGCAGGAGTCAGAGAAAGCTTTGCTTTACTACTAAATGTTCACTCCAATAGGTTTACTGTTACTGTCCTAATTGTCTTAATTTGTGTTCCATATTTATCAAATACTGTGGTTTCTGTGCCACCTACAGCAAAAATCCTGGCAAGAAACCTTAAGACAATATTGATACAGTCTCACACAAAACGTTAACACATTCAGCATGTGTATTCACTCATTTTGTCATAATCTCTCATGAATTACATTGGTTAGATTGACATATCACTTTAAGTTCAACTAAATAAACTACATTGTTTAGTCTGTATGATATATGAAATATCATTGCGTTCTGTTATTTGGAACATCAGTAATTGATCTACTAACTACAATGGACTTGTGCAAAACTCTAGCAAAAATTAAGAATATTGATGTTTGGAACAGGTTAGATTGGGAAAGAATCTATGGAAAGCTTTTGATTCCAATGGAGGTAGCACCTAGTTGACCTTTGCTGATGTTGACCAAACCTAAGTGGAATCCATTTTGATGGGAAATCATCAGGAAATCCCAGTACTGTAGTTTAAACTAGAAAGTTGAAAAAATATCCCAGAAGATGTTGGCATATTATTTTTCCATTGTTAGCAAAATTTATTTCAACTAGTATGATTTATTAAACATCTTTTAGGTCAAAGTATGTGTTTTTTGACATTGTAACACAGAGAGACCTTTCTCTGGATAAGTTTAAATAAGAAATGTGCCTATTTTATTGAACACCTTCACCCACTGAACATAAGTAAATTAAATTAATTCCATCGGTTATGTGCTTTTTAAATAGTATCTCACTGTGGCTTTTTTTGGTACATATTTTCATTTCTGTTTCTGTTGATTCTGTAGGACGGAAATGTGCTATGGTCTGTTGCTTGCCATCTGTCATTTTATGCATTATTACTATCTAGTTTTAAAGTCAACAATTCATTGTCTATTTTCAACCGTAGTTATACTATATATACAAAAGTTGGTTGAGTTGACCGTGTAATATAATACTTAATGCTGGTTCTGCTCCTGGTTGGATTGCTGTTTCCAGAAGGAGATGTTGGAGTTCATGCTCCTTACTCGGTATGTTTTAGGAATATGGGTACTTCTTTCCTTTTATTTATTTATCCATATGAGATAACTCATATGTAGACTTGGTCTATGATGTCATCAATATGTTGAATTACAGTTGCTATGCTGGCATACAAATTTGTTTCATTATCAAAAGATATGGATTACATTGTGATAATTGTTAATCAAGATTGGTCAATATGGTTTATTAATACAGTATAATGAAAGTAAGAAACCTAGTTTAGACATAATGGAGAATAAACCATGATTGTTCATTTAGCCTTTTCTAGATGATTGGTCATCGAGTAGGGGAGAGTGCCTACTGATTCAGTAATGTTATTAGAGAATCATGAGGGTTTTTTTAATGTTTGAAAGGATCTTTGTCAGCTTTGACAAAGTTTGTTATCACCACTTTATCAGGTGTGATAGATCACCACCCATCTCGACACAATTTGAAATTTTCATTGTTAAAGCAGCAAAGAGCTAGGGCTCATACTATTAGAAATTGTGTATTTTCTAGTACAAACCCAAGTTCTTTTAAGGGAATAAAATTATGCTTATACTGATTGAATGATTGTATACTTACATGGTAAACCGTGTTCTTTGAAATAAATTCCCAAAATGGCATTACTGCTATTGTTGCTTTTTGTTCTTGGGAATATCTTACTGCACATTTAAGCATTTTAAAACTGAAAATGCTGAAGTCATAAAGATCAAATTAGTTGTTTTGGTAACAGTTCTAAAGTTTGTCCTTTGGTTTCACATTCCATTCCCATGCCTGTGTCCTTGGATCATTCAATTGTTGGCTCTGGTTTGCATTTCTGGTTCCTGTCATCTCCGTCCCTGCATCCCTTCCTCCCCATACTTTATGGCAGGTTGCTTTGTAGCCTGCACTTCCCTGTTTTAATTTTGGTTTTGTTTTGTTTTTAATGTTGAGGGTGCTTTAAGTTTTACTTTTTTATGCATACTTTGATTTTACAATCTTAATGTTCTTTGTGGTCGAGAAAACATAAGGTTATGTCTTTATAATATTATAGAGTGGTATATAATACAATATGCAAATCTTTTCCATGCTTGGTAATTGATACTACAGTAATCCTAAAATAAAAATAGGAAGTGTAGAGATGTTGTCTTTTTCTTTGCTTTCACTTAGTGAAAATTAAATGGGTTTTTCTGACTTGAAAACTATATATTTAATATCTATATTCTTAAGCTTATGGTATCTTAAAAATATAAACATCATGGTGGCATAAAATGTATTTGCCATCAGTGTTTAAGTAATAGGGGCAGATAGTGGTCTCATCATTACTTGCTGAGTAAACCTTGGAGGGAGAATTTCCAGTAGTGGTTGAATGATTCAGCAATACTCACATCCTGTGAGTCACATTAACGAGTCAGTTACTTGTCTCAACATGTCAAAGAGCACAGTTCTCTTTTGCTTCAAGCAGTTTGAATAACTTTGCAAGGAACAACACTTTAAATAAGGTATCTTGGAAGCCTCACTGAGAGATTTAGTAAAGTGGGCATTGCAGGGTTTTCTTTCAAGCTTAAGGTAACCAAAATTAAAATATAATATGATTGGCATGATAGAATTACACATTCTGGTGTTATCCTTAGATGATATATATCAAATTGGCCTAAAGACTTCTGAATGTTTAATCTTATCTCAGCTATGGTAGTCCACTGGATATCTTTGGGTTGGTGACTCTCTCCCTTTGTCTTAACCCATCTATCTCACAAAGTGTGGCAAAATATTGGGGGAAGAAATCCTGTGTATACCAGTTGGAACTGCTGGAGGAGAAGGGAGTATAAACGTATTAAGAAAACCTGATTTTTATTTTAGGCTTCTAATACTGACAGCTACTATACTACCAAAATGACATCTACCTCCACACAATTTCAACCATCTGAGAATGCCTGCAGATCATCACTTGAACCAGTCAAACAGGTAATATAATTGCATTTTTCAATTTAATACTGTAATCTGATAGAAGAGGGAAAAGTTAGCATTGCATTGCTGAGATTCTGTGAAATAGTTGTATTTGCTTTCTTCTGCTAGCTTGATACAGTGAAACTTATCTGGAATTGGGGTTTGTAAAGCTTTAAATTTGTAACCTGTGGGAAGTTGTTTTTTATATTGATTTGTCCAGCTTTATACAACATGTCTTTAAAAAATCCATTTGGTGTATCATAGGTACGACCAAAATTGCAACTGTTGAAAGTTCTGCATGCAGCAGGTGCTAAGGGCGAAACTTTTACATTAAAAGAGGTGAGTTCCTATGCACTCAATTCTGCCCTGGAAAGTCAGGTTATCTAAATTTGAATTAAGAAAGAAATTTGTCATAATTTACTTTTTAATGGCATCCAGTACAGACCAAGTCTATATCCATATTCTTATTCCATGTGATGTGGCTGCAAAATTTGAATACTGACAATGCTTCTAGAGTAAAACCAGTAGTCCTGGCAAGTATTTAAAAAGAGAAAAAAGAAAATGTACGGTTAGTCCTTGACTTATGACTGTTCGTTTAATGATTTGAATTATCAGTGGCTTGGGAAAGGGTGTTTTACAGCCTATAAAGTTTCCAATCATTGCAAATGTTGTAGCTGCCCCCCCCCCCCCCCCCCATCATGACATTATAGTCTGGGTGCTTGGTAACTTGTTTGCACTTGCTAGGTATAGGACGTTGGTGACCAATTGATGCTTGCATGTTTTTAAATTATGCTTTTTATTTCTTCTCTATTGAAAAGGTCATGTCAGCTAAACTGGAAACATCCTATAAAGTCATTTCTTTTAAATTTAAAATGCAAAGTGTGTACAGTATTAGAAAAATGACACAGGCTGTGATTTATAGGGCTATTCTGTCAGTTAGGAATTAAATGCTGTGGCTTTTCATTAGGAATGTGTCAGATATTCCCGCAGAGTTGTTTGACTTATTTTAAATACTTATGCATTTAAATAACTTATTTAGCTTCCAATATTTTTGCAAAACACAAATCCAATGCTTCAAATGAATGAGTTTCCATGTTAAAATGTTAATTTGCCATAGCAGCCTACATTTAGCACAGTGAGAACCTGTTTTCTATAATAGCTAGAAGCACAGCCAGCTTTCTTCATTTTGTTTTTTTCTTCTGATTTTTTTTGTTTCTTTGGCTGTCATGATATTATGCATAAATTCTATGCATAAAATACAGCTTGAAGAATGGACTACTCTTATAGGTTATACACTAGACTACAGCCTACCTTGTTACATTTTATTACTTAATTTGCACTTGGAGACTATTAGTTTGATTCTCCATGATTTATATGATAGAAAACAAATTTAAAACATTTAACTAAGCTTAAATACATAAAAGAAAAGCTTCTGAGAGTGAAATAAGAATAAAACAAAAATGAATCTAGAAGGACTTTTGCTCAGCTTTGGCTAGTGTACCAAATTGCAGACCTTAGTTTGCACAAGAAGGCATCCCCAATACTACCCAATTAAACTACAGCAATGCAATTTACATGGAGATGACTCCAAAACAAGTAAAAATGCTTTCCAGATTAGCTCTGTCTTTATCATCTTCCTGAACATACTCAGAGATGATGCTAGAGCAGGGGTGGGATTCAGCTGGCTCGGGCCATTTCAGGTGAATCGGATGTTAATTTTACATCCAGTTTGGCAAACAGGTAGTTCCGAAGACCAGCTGGGCCCTCCCCTCCCCGCCCTTCCCAGGAGTCCCCACGCACTTGATTCTGGCTCCCAAGAGGCTCCAGGGAGGCTTCCTAGGCCCAACATGGAGCACACCCCCGTGCCCCATTTTTGCTCCCAGGAGGCTCTAGGGAGGCTTTCTAGGGTGCGAAGGAAGGAAAAAAAGAAAAAGAGGGATGGATGGGAGAAAGAAAGGGAGGGAAGAGAGAAAGAAAAAAAGAGGGTGAGAGAGAGGGAAGAGAGAAAGAAAAAGAAAGGAGAGAGGAAAGGGAGAAAGAAAGAAAGGGGTGAAAGAAAGAGGGAGGGAAGGGAGAAGAAAAGAAAGAAAGAAGAAAGAAAGAAAGAAAGAAAGAAAGAAAGAAAGAAAGAAAGAAAGAAAGAAAGAAAGAAAGAAAGAAAGAAAGAAAAAGAAGGGAAGGCAGAAAGAAAGGGAGGGAGGGAAGGGAGAAAGAGGGAATGGAAGTGAAAATGAATGATATATGGATGGAGGGAGGGAGGAAGGAAGGGAGAGAAAAAGGAGAGGAAGGAAGGGCCACAAACCCTGGCACTAGATGCAGCTTCAGAGGATGCTTTGAAACAGCACAGCAATCCAGGGCTGGAAGGGACCTTGGAGGTCATCTATTCCAACCCCGTGCTCTAAGAGCATTGTTAAAGTGAGTTTTGCTCTTTTGACCCACCCAGTCACATGGCCACCTAGCCACGCCCACCAAGCCACACCCACAGAACCAGTTGTTTAAAAATTTGAATCCAACCCCTGTGTTGGAGTGATTTTTATAGCAAGACTTTCAGTAGATTGACTGTAGAGCACAGCCTCATTTATTTTCTGATATCCGAAATAGGGACTACATAAAAAAGAGATTTTTTAATTTTTTTAGAGCACCAGGAATAATTTTTCTCTATATGATCTAATCGGTCAGGCTGATACAGGATTAAAGCAGGCATATCCCAGTGGTGCTTTTCAAAAGGCAAGTGGGCTTTCTTAGTTTTTTCTTTGAAAACATTTTTCCTCACATCCAAAAAACAAGTCCAGTTGTCTTTTGAAAAGCACCATTAGGACATCCATGACCTGGATAATTGAGAATCTGCAATTCTGCATAGATGTTAGAGCGGGCAATTTAGTTACATGATGCCAAACCATGAAGGTCAAAACTAGCAATTAGTACTTTAAATTGTATCACGGCAACAATTAAATGAAAGCTACTGCAGAATCCACAATATAGGTGGAATATGTTCCCAACAACGTGAACTAGTTAGCACACAGGTTGGTGCATTTTGGATTAATTCAGGTTCTAAGTAGTTTTTACAGGCAGTACCATGTAAATTGCATTGCCATAGTTTAACTGGGTGGTATTGAGGAAGTCGTCTTCTGCAAACTAAGGTCTGCAACTTGGTACACCAGCCAAAGTTGAGCAAAGTCCTTCTAGGTACATCTTTTTTGCTATATCAGCAGGACCTGTTTACAAGAGGTAGAGCCTGACCATGCAGATATAAGATTGGTATAGGTGGAGAGCCTCAATGGACAGTGTTTTGTTTGGGCTCAGCTTTAGGTAGGTCTATCCCATTCAGATCCTGACAGCCTTCAGGGACCAGGATAAGAGAATAATACCACCCTTCCCTTTAATACAGTGATAACACTGTACCCCAAGTATTTTTTTGCACCATAAGATGCACACTCCTCCCACACACAAAAAAATGGGTGGAAATGTCTGTGCATCTTATAGAGCAAATGTTGCCGAAGCCCCGCCCACCCGCTAGCCCCCACCCTTCGGCCTCTGCCTCCCAGCAATTTGCCTCCTTGCAGCAAATAACCTGGTCAGCTTCAGCACAGCCTGATTTAGCATGAGCAGCTGATTGGCGGTTGGCTCGGCCTCCCAGAATACCGCTGATCAGCTGTTCCAAGCTGTGGGGATCACCGCTGCCCATCGTTGCAGTTGCCGCCCATTGCTGCCACCATGTGCCCAATATTCAGCCTGTTCCAAGAGGTAGGGATTGCTACCGATTGCCGCCTCCTATTGTCTCTGATAGGAATCCCTGCCTCCTGGAGCAGGCTAAAAATGGGGCGCACGGAGGCTGAAAATGGGATGCATGGAAGCGGCAATAAGCCGTGGCAGCAATAGGTGGTGGCAATAGGCGGCGGCGATGGGCAGTGGCAATCCCCACAGCCTAGAACAGCTGATCGACAGAGTTCCAGGAGGCCGATCCACTAATCAGCTGCTCGTGCTAAATCAGGCTGAAGCTGACCAGGCTGTTTGCTGCAAGGAGGCAAATTGCTGGGAGGCAGAGGCAGATTTCCCCCCACTTGTTTTCTTCCCCAAAAGCTAGGTGAGTCTTATGGTCTGGAGCATCTTATAGTGCAAAAAATACAGCAATACCGTGTTTCTTAGAAAATAAGACAGGGCCTTATCTTTTTTAGACCCCCGAAAAAGTGGCTAGGCCGTCTTTTCGAGGGGTGTCTTAATTCCCCTCCAACACGCTTCGCCCAGCCACTGGGCTGCTTCTATCCGAAGGAATGTCCCATGGGCCTTCCCTCTCCAATGGGTCCCTTCTTTAGCAGCTGAAAGTGCCCCATGCGCACCATTGCCTCTCCACTGGGCCGCTTCTTTAGTGCCTGAAAGAGCGCCCCATGCGCACCCTTGTCTCTCTACCGGGCTGCTTCTGTAGCAGACAAAAGGAGCACAGACTGAGGGAAGAATGACAGGCAGGAAAATTTCCCCTCCCCATTTTCCTCCTTGTTCGCAAAAAAGCCTCAATTCCAAAAGTTCAGCGTTCAGAATGGAGGGTTTTTGGCAAACGGTAGGAAAATGGGGAGGGGAATTTTCCTGCCTGTCATCCATTCCTCAAGCTCCTCCTCCCTCTGCATTTCCCTGCCTTTCGGAAAAACGGCTCCACTCCGAGCCTTCAGCATATCCCAGGACCCTGCAAGGCTTGTTGTGCATGTGAGTGGCAGCGTTGCTGTGGTTCGTCACATCGACGCAGCCTCTTTGAACAGGACCCTGCAAGAATTGCTGTGCCGTTGTGCGTGCCGCCACGAGTTTGGATACACTGGCGCAGCTGTTCACAGTAGGATGCCAGCTGCACCAGTGTGATGAAGCTCACGGAGGTGCTGCCATTCATGAGTACAATGCTACAACAAGCCTTGCAGGGTCCTGCTCCAAAAGGAATGGATAACAGGCAGGAAAATTCCCCTCCCCATTTTTCTGCCTTTCACAAAAACGGCTCCACTCCGAGCCTTCAGTGTATCCCAGGATTGCAACGCAGAAGGCTCCATTCCGAATCTTCACCATTGCAATCCTGGCATACACTGAAGGCTCGGAATGCCTCTGCTTCAGCGCAGAATGACTTTCGTCCTTCTCTGCAGCTGGACACTTGCGCCCCCCCCCCCCCATGCCCACGTTGCCACTTGTGCTGGCTATGCCCATCCCCCGGGCTTATTTTCGGGGTAGGGGTAATATTAGGCCCACCCCAAAAAAATTAGGATTGGGCTTATTATTGGGATGGGCCGTGTTTTCTGAGAAACACAGTAGTTAACTTTAGCTAGCATCGTCATACAGATGTTAAAAAGGAGAAACTGACCCCTGTATTGCATTGTAGGGGCCATTAGGATTTCTTCCTCACTATAATTGACTGAGACAGGAACAGAATTACTACAAAAGAGTGCTTCCAATCCTTATCTCCATAATTCAACCTGGTAAGGTATTGTGGTGGATAATGACAAAAGCCACTGAGAGATCTAAAAGGACCCCAAGAGGCTCATTCCTCCTGCCAGGTCTTATTAGTAGTCATTTATAAGAGTGACAAGTCTTAATTATCTTATCTATCTTAATTCCAGCCTAAATGCTGACTGAAAAGGGTCCAGATACCGCTTCATATTTATATTGGATTTACCAATACCAGAAAAGGGAAGGTTGGAGAGTGGGTGGTAGTTATCTAATACTAGCTGAACTGGAGATAATTTTAGGAGATTTACCACAGTCGATTTCTAAACTGCTGGCAGAATCCCCTCTGTTAAAGGAATATTGACAGTCTCCCAGATCCATATGGTCACATGAAACTTGCAGGAGCCTGGATAGGCATAGGTCAAGCATGAAGGATAACCTAGAGAGTACTCTATCCACCTTCTTGGAGTGTATAGGGCAGAAGGTAATGTAATCTTGTTCAAGATCTTTCCAGCTCACAAAATACAGGGCAGAGATGCCCACTAGATTTTTGGGGAACTTAAGTCTCTTCCGGTTGGATCCTTTAGGTGCCTAGGGAAGGCTATCTGAATGCATCCAATCTTATACAGACAAAGCATAATCTAATTTAACAAAATTCTGATGGAAATTCTTTCGGTTTTCAGATTACATTACTTTTTTGAAATAAACATTCTAATGTATGGCTATTTTCATGTGATAGGCCGGATTTTTATTTATATTTATTTATATATCACATTTAGAAACCTATCTTCATCACAGAGTGGTCATTATTCAAATAAAATGTAAAAACTAATAAAGCCATACATAAATATTAAGCAGTTAAAACTAAAATAATAAGCATAATTAATAATAAATAAGCCCATTGTTCCTTTGGAGGCTATAAACTCACATATTTTTCCTGATGGTTTTATTTACCTGATCATAACTTTTGCTTTTCCTTTTTAAATGTATTCTGTGATTTTCTTATTCTTTGGATTCATTTTAGACCTTTATTGATTTTTTATAAATGTTTCAGGACACTTTCTCTTACTTAATGAATTATGGTAGAGATCCATAGCTGTCTTTATGGTGTTCCTTTGTTGTTTGGTTATATTGCATTGAAAAATGTGTGTGCACGCACACATACAACAGGTTTAAAAATTACTGAAACAATGGAAAGTAACACTACTGAGATGATTTTTGTATTAGCATAACTGAAATTTTCATTTTGTTTTTTGTTTTTAGTGTATGATCTATCTTGGAGAATACATTGCACAGAAACAGTTATATGATAAAGAGCAGCAGCACCTGGTACACTGTGGAAAAGACCAGCTGGGGAAGCTTTTGGGCTGTCAGAGTTTCTCTGTAAAAGAACCAAGGTAGGAAATCATACCAATAGAATAAGATTCTGCAAATTTTAATATCTAAAGCAAAGAGTTCTCTTTTATTTTGCGTAGATACAGTGAATTCTGGCCCAATATTACCTTTGGGAACACCAGGGGTAGGATGCTACTGGTTCTGTCTGGTTCTATAGAGCCGGTAGCTCTGAAGAGCAACAGACACAGAACCGGTTCTGTGTTTGCTGCTGTTTGGCCTGCCCACCCGCCCGGGCTCTTACATGACGTTTATTTTCTGCTTTTTCAACTTCAGCTACTTTGCGCGGCACAACTGAGGTTGAAAAAGCAGGGAAACAGAGGCTTTTCAAACGCTGCGCACCTGCGCGCAGTGCTTTTCAGCTGTCCGGGCAGCACAGCCTAAGGTTACTTTACACATGTGCAAAGCCAAACCGGTAGTAACACCGGTTGAATCCCACCCCTGTAACACACATCTAGCTACTGTATTTTTCGCACTATAAGAACCCCCCAAAAAGTGGGTAGAAATGTCTGTGCATCTTATAGAGCAAATGTTGCTGAAGCCCCCCCTTCTACCCGCCGGCTCCCACCCTTCAGCCCCTGCGTCCTAGCAATTTGCCTCCTTGCGGCAAATAGCAAACAGCCTGGTCATCTTCAGCACACCCTGATTTAGCATGAACAGCTGATCGGCGGTTGGCTCGGCCTCCCAGAATACCGCCAATCAGCTGTCCAGGCTGCAGGGATCGCCGCTGCCCATTGCCTCCATGTGCCCATTTTTGGCCTTTGTGTGCCCCATTTTCGGTCTCCACGTGTCCCATTTTCAGCCCGTTCCAGGCAGTGGAGATCGCCTCTGATTGCTGCTGGCGATTCCTGTTGCCTGGAACGGGCCAAAAAATGGACATGCGGAGGCCGAAAATGGGGTGCGCGGAGGCAGCAATAGGTGGCGGTAATGGGTGGTGATCCCCGCAGCCTGGAATAGCTGATGGGCGGTATTCCGGGAGGCCGAGGCAACCGCCAATCAGCTGCTTGTGCTAAATCAGGCTGTGCTAAAGCTGACCAGGCTGTTTGCTGTTTGCTACAAGGAGGAAATTGGTGGCAGGCAGAAGCAAAAAAATATTTTTCTTGCTTTCCTCCTGAAAAGCTAGGTGCGTCTTATGGTCTTATAGTGCAAAAAATATGGTAAATACTTTGTTGTGAGAATTGTGTTGTAATTGGTGACATCCTAAGAAATTATCAAATACATAAACTTTAATGGCAAATGCGAATTTAATAAGTATTAGAACAGAGTTACCAAAATCTGTTTTGTCGATATTTCTTAATCCTCTTGTATAATACTTGGAATAGATTATAGGCTCAATAGTGAAGCATATTGAAAAATTCTGATGACTAGGTTTATTGAAAAACCTAAAACCACTGGTGTGGTGGAGCCAGTTTGTACTGGTTCATGAAAGCCCATTACTAAATTTTCAGAAATGTTACAAGCCACTTACAAGTAGAATTGAGCCTTGATGTCTAACTTACAAATCAGCTGTTCTGTGCTATTACAAATAGTCCTGGACGTACGACAACAATGGAGCCTAACATTTCTGCTGTTAAATGAAACATTTGTTAAGTAAATTTTGCTCCATTTTACGACTTTTCTTGCCACAGTTGTTGAGTGAATCGCTAAAATTGTTAAGTTAGTCACATGGTGTTAAGTGAATCTGGGTTCCCAATTCACTTGGGGATCCACAAAGTGCTCACATGATCCTGGGATACTGTAACTGTCATAAATACAAATTAGTTCTCCATCATCAGAATTTTGATCATGTGAATGCTACAACAGTCATAAAGGTGAAAAATGGTCATAAGTCCCTTTTTCAATCCCGTTGTAACTTTGAACAGTTACTAAATGAACTGTTGTAAGTTAAGGACTACTTGTACACAGGGCATTGGTGGCAATGGAGGTGGCGGAGCCAGTTCTTAAACATTTACTAACACACCACTGCCTGCAACCAATTTGGTTTATTAACTTCATCCTGATTAATTGCATTAATATTTTGCTGAATTTGGTTACTGTAATACTATGCTTACTCTATTTATTTTTATTTGCGTGATTAGTTACATTTATTACCTTTTTTTCTAAGAGAATGAATAAAGAAGAAAATGCATGCTTGATTTTCTAGTCGTATCTCCTATGCTTTGGGTATATATTATATGTGAATGCTGAATATTCCACTCTCTTTTTTTCCTTTGGCTGATCAGTATATTTGACTATAGCAGAATGGAAGCAAATGAGCATGCTAGAATCCATGTGCAGTACTAACATGCAGACACTGCTCTTGTTTAGTCAGTTACTCTCTGCTCCCATGCTGGTGCATACTTAAGACCATGCTGTTGCCATGGGATTTAATTGCACAAGTATAGTATTGTTCACTTAAGTCCTGTGAACTTAATTCTAACTATGCAGTAGAGAAGTTTGGAATGGAACTACACAGAAGCAAAAATTTCACAGATTGGGTCTTGAATATTCCTATATCTATATTCCTATATTCTTATATGCAGTGGAATAAACAATAGTGTGTAAATTAATAAATGGAATATTTTATTTCAGTCTATAGGTGCCACTATTATTTTTGAATATTCTTTCCTGTTAAAAATTATTCAGATAGTAAACTTAGAAATTTAGACTTGTCTAACTTCTGTTTTGATTTTGTAAAAAATTCTTGCAAAAAAACCAATTGTTTTCTAAACAATTTCATAGCTTGAAGCCTGAAAATTTAGGTTTAATATAATTCTACCTGTGCATGGAATTGGCTTATTCTTAGTGAGCCTTGGTGGTGGTTTGAATGCAGTATTGCAAGCTAACTCTGCTCAGCCTGGAGTTCAGTCCCGATGGGACTCAAGGTAGACTCCGCCTTCCATCCTTGATAAAATGAGACCAGATTGTTGGGGGCAATATGCTGATGTTGTAAATCACTCAGAGAATGCCGTAAAGCAGGGGTCGCCAACCTTTTGGACCTCAGGGACCACCAAACTCATAATTTTAGATCCCAGGGACCACTAACTGGTTCTGTGGGCGTGGCCTAATTTGTGGGTGTGGCTTGGTCATGTGACTGGCTGGGCATGGCTTGTATGTAAATATTATAAATATTTATATAAATATTGAATTTTTTATAAAAAGAAGAGCAACTTTTACCCAAAAGCAGGCAAAGCAGGCAGGCAGATTGAGTTGCTCACAGATTCATTCAGAGATCTATCTATCTGCCATTGACTAGCTCAGTCTGTCACATAAAATTTGCTCACAAGCAAACTCACAAAATTAACTCACAAAACACCATGCATGTAAATATTGAATTTTTTATAAAAAATGAGCAACTTTTACCTAAAATCAGGCAAAGCAGGCAGATTGAGTTGCTCACAGAATCATTCAGTGATCTATCTATCTGCCATCGGCTAGCTCAGTCTCTCAAATTTGCTTGCCGTGAGTCTGCACTGAATTTGCTTGCAAGCAAAACTTCAGTCCTAAGGGAGGTTCGGCTGTACTTAAAAGCAGACCCAAAGATTTAAAGGCTAGCTAGAAAGCAAGAAATCCAGCCATTTCCTGCTTCCTAGCTAATCTAAATCTCCCGGCACAGCAGGACAGATGATGGTGGGAAAAAGGAAAAATAGCAATTTAGCAGGCAAGTTTACCAGGTAAGGAGTGAGTGGGCAGGAGGGTCCCGCGTGCCATGTGGGCGGCGCAGCCTTGTGTTTCTGCACAACCTGGATTAATTGCTTTGTGGGGGTTCTGGGGGTGAGATTTCTCTGTGGCTCACCAAAATTTTCTCACGGCTCACCAGTGGGCTGCGGCCCACCGGTTGGCGACTGCTGCTGTAAAGCATTATGGGGCGATATATAAGTCTAAGTGCTATTGCTATTCTGTGGATGGAAATTTTATCAAGCCTCCCAGCTTCATATCTGATACTCATCATTCTGTCAAGTGGTTTAACCAAACAGATCATTTCTGAAGGCTAGAGGGTTCTTTTTTTCTTTAAAAAGTATGCAGGTACAGGTATATTTGGCATGCTTAATTTTGTATGCATACAGTAAATCCCTGTCTTGACAGAGTAAGAATTCATTGTGTTAATTGAGTTTATGATAAATTTTCCTGCAGAGTCTTTATGCCAGCAATGGCTATGGCTATAAGGATTTAATGGCAGCTTGAGAACTGACATGAGAGAACTGATAACTGTTCTGAGAAAAAAAGTTTAAACATGTTTTTTTTAAAATTGAAGACTTGAAATTAGGCCATATTTATTCCTATTCTTTCTCTAAATGCATCTGGTGTAGATTTCTTTTCCTTCTTATAAATCGTGTGCTGTATCATGATATTGGATAGCTCAGTAGTACTCCATCTTGCATAATATTTGAATTAAAAAGAAGTATTCTTTATGCATGGGTGTGGGGACCTAGTGGTTAAGAAACAGAGCTTGCTGACCAGAAGGTGGTCAGTTTGAGACCCAAGCTCCTGTTTCTGCTTCACCTCCTGCCAACCTAGCAGTTTGAAAGCAGGCAAATGCAAGTAGATAAATAGGTACCATTTCAGTGGGAAGGAAAGAGTGTTTCGTGCACTTCAGGGTATAGTCTTGCTGGCCATGTGACCACCGAAGCATTTTTATACAATGCTGGCTCCCTCAGCTAGGAAAGGGAGATGAGCATCGCTCCCTAGAGTCAGACCCAACTGGACAGTTTAGACCCGACTTTATCTTTTTTAAATTATTCCTTATATAATTATGTCCTTTATGCAATTATGTTCTCCGCTCATTATTCATTTTTTTTCCACAGCCTTGTTTATGATATGCTGAGAAGGAATGTGACTCTTGCCACTACTACAGGTAGGTTTCTTCAAATTCATTCTTTTTGTAAAATTAATCTTGGTAAGTAAAAACATGTGAAAGCCTTTGCTTGAGATGAATTGCTCTGAGGATTGGGAGTATTGGGATTCTGCAGCCCTGTGCTAACAAAAAAGCTAGCAATATGTTGACACATTGAAATGAATGCAGAATCAGGGTCACCATCATGGTGTCAATGGTTTTAAGTGTGCCGATAGACATATCCTGTGCTGGTCTCCAGGCTTTCTACCTGTATGGCTTTGTCCTTTGTCCAAATCCTTCTGAGATGCAGAAAATGGAACATGCATAACATTTTCCTGGTGAAGAAAACAAAAGCTATTTTTTGTTTTGTTTTGCTTTTATTATTTTTAAGTTGTCTATTGAATTATAGTAACTGCATTTTCTACACCAGGGTACTTCAAACTGGATAGATTTAAGACTTGTGGACTTCAACTCCCAGAATTCCTCCTCCAGTCATGTTAGCTCAGGAATTCTGGGAGTTGAAGTCCACAAGTCTTAAACCTGCCAAGTTTGAAGACCCTTGTTCTACACTGTCAGAGAGTCTGGTGTGAGAATATTAAATGCATTTTTGCATATAAATATACTGTTGGCTTTTTTTAGGCATTTTCCAGACCTGCCATTGTGGGAATGGAGCATTCTGGAGAAGTATAGAATGTTTCTGTTTCTTCTTTGAACTACATCAATGTGGTCATTCTGAGGGTGGTGTGACAGTTATACTGAAGTTGATAGTTTCAGTCACAAACAGTTGCTGGCATTTCAGACAAAATCAGTCCTACTCTTTCCATTTCAGAAAAGAATCAGACCACAGATAGTCCTAGACTTAACAACTGGTTGAGGTTCCAGTGGTTGTGCTCTGCCCCTGCACATGACCACACTTTGGGCATTTGGCAGACAGGCTGCATTTATGGCCATTTTCAGTGACCCACAGTCATGGCTTGGCCATAAACTAGCATTTATGTTTAGTTTTCAATAAAACTAACCTATACCATTGAAAACTTAATGACTACAACCTCTGCAAAAACAGTAAAATGGGGTTGGTCACATGACTGACCTACTTTACAACCATCAGAAGTTATGTCATGGGAAGGCTCAGTTGCGACAGTAACTTGAGGACTACATATACATCCAGAACAACTAAAAGAAATACAGAGTGTATGCACATATCTTGATTTCAGTATATTTCTTCACCTTTTTTTAGTTAGAATTGGCTAATTTACCACTAGTCTGATTGGAGTAGATAATCTCTGTTAACATCTCCACTAGACGTTCAATTAATCCAGTGTTGTGGACCAGTATGGGGTTTCAAACAGGAATTCAGGTAGTCCTTGCTTACTAAACGCAATTGGCATTGGCAACTCTGTCAATAAGTGTGGCAGTTGCTAAGCAAAAAATCACGTCATGAGGCTGGATGTCACTTCTGTTTCTCTGGTTAAGCAAATCACTGTGGTCATTAAGCAAGACATCATAGGACTCTAACTTGTAATTTCACATTTGCATTCTCCATTGATTCTGTTTTCTGGAAACTGGTTGTAAACCTTGCAAATGGTGGCTGTCCAACTTTGGGACGGCCATATATGCAAGGATTGGTTGCAAAGCTGTGTTTTTCTCAACTACTGTAAATTTGAACAGTCACTAAATAAGGCAGTTGGTAAGTGCGGACTACCTGTATTGCTGACCTTGCTCTGTAGAAATCAGTATAATATTAAGGATAGTGGGTTTCGTATTTATTTGCTGGGATGATTTGATTGGCTGCCTGAATGCGTGATTTAACACAATTTTAAAAGCTAAAAATGAAATAAACTTTATTTTGACATAATACAAAATTCAAAATTGTATCTGAAGATGCTTTCCTAAAGCAGTCGGGACAATTGTGCATTGATTTTTTTTTAAATTAAGAAGCATATATGAGCAATCAGTCAATAGTTTTGCTTTGTGCATGATAAGATTGCTCTCAGTGCAAGCTTTATATACATGGTACTATTTATGCTGGCCTTTACAGTCACTTCAAAGAACATGCCACCAATGGAGCTCTCCAATCTGATATAAAAAGGAGTGACTATTGTAGATTGCTCTTTATTCTCAGGTTAAGGGTCATCCTAATTTCTGGCTGAAGTACCTCTGTCTGTCTAGAACGGAGTTCTTGTGTGCAGTTTCAGTGTATTTTGCAGAAGATTGTTTCTTTTAATGTGATCCTTCTTTGTTTTTGATTTGATCCCGATTTTGTTTTGAGAATCATTTTGAGACTAATACATTCACAAAGTTAAAACAAGGTGTGCACATCTGTATTTTCTTTCTAGGCAGTAGAATAGAGAGCCTATTTTTATGTTTCAGGAGGGGGTTTGCTGGCAGTGGATGACTGTAAGTGAAAACTGTGAGTGAGGCTATCTCCTTCTCTTTGCCCCAGTTGGTATAAGGGGGACAAGGCAGATAATTCTCACCAGAAATTTGAATCGGTTGTTTTTACAGAGTTTCCGAATTTAGTCTGAAGGTTCCATTATGTCTGCTGCTGAATGGTTAGTGAATGTAACTATTTTAAAAACTTCTGACTTCTCTTTTAATCTTCGTCGTTTTCCATGGCACACATGTATGCGACTTCAGAGTTGAATTGGCATCTAGCTAGATCTTTATTATGGTGAAAAAGACCATCACAGAACATAAAACATGACGTTAGTAACATAGTTTATTATTGCATTTTTAAAAAAAGCCATAGCTAGAATATCTATGGAGAATCATCCAGGTCGTGGTTATCCGAAAGGTGTTTTTTAAAAGGCACCTGGACTTCCTTGGTTTTTTCCTTGAAAACATTTCACTTCTCATCCTTGGAACAGTTTCTTGGATGAGAAGCAAAACATTTTCAAAGAAAAAAAAACAAGAAAGTCCCACTGCCTTTTGAAAAGCACCTTTAGAATAAGCTGTACCAGGGTTATACCAAGTGCAAAAAAGATATTTATTTGCCTTCACTTCAAGATCCAGCTAGTCACATCTAATGTATCTACATATAAGGAAGGTACATTGTACTGGCGCTAATGGGCACTTCCTAATATTTCAGAGATGGTAGAGTTACTTTCTCATTGGGTTAGAAGTGCACTGACCATGTTCTGACCCTGATCAAGCTATGCACTGGCTTTTCTTTAAAAAATGGCAATAGGACAAATATGTCTGCAATGGTTGTTATTCTAGTGTTAGAAGGTGGTAGCTACAGTAATTAGGATTTAGGGGAAATAGAGTTGGATCTATCAGCTCCATTCTCGATGTGTGAGTGAGCTAAAAAAAATTGAACTATGTTGGGTGAGAAATTTCGAACCATTTCAAACCCATACACGAAGAACCTGGTATGCTTGCTTGACAAGGGCTCCCTTTGTATTGTGAGAATGGTTATTACCAGGGAAGGTTTTTTCTTTCTTTACCTGCTGTCTAGATGCTGCACAGACACTTGCTTTCGCAAAGGATCAGAGTGAGGATAATCCAAGTCAAGATCGGCTGAAGGTAAACCCATTGCTGGGTGGTTTATTTTGTCGTACAGAGTGTCCCTTCTCTGTATCTGTGGAAAGTGGATTGCTAGAACTTCTGACTTGTTTACTGGTGAGTCTTTGCCTTCTTCAGAAGTTCTCGGGACTCCACGGACCAGGGACAGAGTTCTCCTTCTCTGTTCTCTACCTACAGAGTTCCATTCTCTGAACATGTTCTCTGGGATGTAGCATTTCTTTTCCTTAGTCACACCAGCTTTCACTGGGTGGGAGGTTTTTTTTTTAATTTATCAGGGACTGATATAGATATTATTACTTCATAATAACTCATAATACTTGAAAACCTTAGGAAAATCAAGATGGTTTCTCATACTATGGTTGAATTAGTATTGTCCTTCTCAAGAGAAAGCTACCTAATTTGATAGAGATAATAAGCTTGATAGCATTCCTTTGCAGCTTTTTAGAAACATTTATCCTATTGTAGCTGTATTGTAATGTGTTCTGTGTATGTTTGTGTGCGTGTAAATACACACATGCACACTCAACAAGTTCAGGGATAGGCAGCTTGGCATCTTCCAAAAGTTTTGGGCTACAACTCCCATGAGAGTTGTAGTGAAAGACTTATGAAACTATCAGGTTGCATATCCATGTCTATTTGATCTTTAGCAAATGTCTTGTTCAATTAATAAATGCAATTTTTGTCCTTATTTCTACTGTAGTTCTGATGGTATTTGAACTGTATGTGACTATTGCTATTAAGCTGGTGACTAAGAAAGGAAGTGTTACATCCCTGTGCTTCTGTCATGGATCTTAGCTGATAGTTATTTCTCCTTTCTTCTTTAAGCATAATAACACAGAGAGCAGTTTCAGCACTGAACAGGAAGACCATGAAAATGATCTATCTTCCTTAAAGCATACATGCAAGGAGAAAAAAGGTAAATAGACACGATTAGATTGCTTTGACTACTGGACACATTATTTATCTAATGGATCTCGCAGAATATGTACATACTGGTTGTTTTTGTTGTATCTGTGAGTCCTAGGTGGTTTTCCTTTTTTATTTTACTATTATTTCTTAATACAGTTAGATATTCCAAAGTATTTTTAAGAAAACATCTTATTTCTCTCTCATGTGAATATGCAAATTAGATAATATTCAAGTAGTCAATTTAATTTGTGAAAATTGCATATATAAATAAAATGTCAAAAGGGGAGTCTGTTTTCAAAGCTATTCCATGTAGCTTTTAGAATAGTCACATTGCTATAAAGATAGTAATAGCTTCATAAGATATTACAAATTTATAGTTGATTACTTAGAAAAACTCTTGTTTGTGATTTCTCAAGATAGATTTAAACTCTATCATTAAATATCACACACTATATGAACAGAAGTAAATACAAAGAGCTTTTTGTTTATAATATGTGATTGGAGGAAATAGAAATATCTACAGGTTGTCCTTGACTTAACAACCATTTGTTTAAAGATGGTTCTAAGTTACAGTGGCCTTAGAAAAAGTGATTTATGACCTGTCCCTTCACATCAGCTCTTGATCAAGTGATCACAATTCAGATACTGTGAATGGGCTTACATTTACGACAGGTTGCAGCATCCCGTGGTCACATGGTCACCATTTGCAATTTTCTCAGGCAGTTTCTGACAAGAAATGTTGATTAGTTTAGTGGTAAAAATAGTCATGAAATTAAATCCAGTAGTGTATGACTCGCTTTACAACCACACTGACTTAAGACAAAAATTCTGGCCCCAAATGTTGTTGCAGATTGAGGACTACTTGTAATTCACACAGATGGCTATTCATGGATATAATGTTAGACTAAGTTGTACCCGAGTGATCAGGCTTGCCAGTTGATTTCACAAGCATAGTTATTTTAAATTAAATGTCTTTTCACTTTTGCAGATGGGGTACTAATAGATAACCTTTCAAAAGAGCAGACCACATTGGATTTGTTAGTTGAAGAATGGGATGTAGCTGGCCTTCCATGGTGGTTTTTAGGGAATCTGAGAAACAATTACAAATCCAGAAGTAATGATTCAACAGATATACATACAAATAAGGTAAACATTAGCAAATAGTATGATGTATATGCATAAACCTGTATATCTTACTCTGATTTCATTATTTTATTAAACATTGAAAGGATTCTTATTCTCAAGTGGTCTTTGACATTTTTAGTTGTTGTTTTTAAGGCTGAAAAATAACATGCTTAATGATCATAGATATTGGCCTTATACCAAACAAATACCAGCACATTGGATAACCTCAGGGAACAATTGGAATAATCCGTGACCACAGAACACAGTTGGACTGAGAGAGTGTGATTGGCCCAAGGTCACCCAGCTGACTTTCATGGCTAAAGTGGGACTGGAACTTACAATCTCCAGCTTTCTAGCCTGTAGATAGAGTTCCCCAACTTTTCCGGTTTTGCGGACTGTAGGGGAGGGGAGGGAGAGAGGCGATGGTTCCATGTGAACGGTGGGCAAACATGTACATGCAACTCTATTTGCATGAGCAGTGGGCATGTGCGCCTGCCGCTCATGCGAAATGGAGTGCATGTGCACGCACTCGCCCACTGCTTGCACAAGGAAGGATGCATGCATGCATGCTTGCCTGCCGCTTCAGGTGACCTGGTTTTGAACAGCTCACGGCCCGGTAGTGGCCGGGAGGTTGGCGACTCCTGCTGTGGATCTTATTAATATTATTTGATATAATTAAAAAAAGAATGACATAGAGATAAAAGTAAAAACTGTTTTCTGTTATAGAGTGTCATATAATTGGTGACTTTTAAGGAAATAAGAAAGACTTCCAGAAAGTGGAGTTATGGAAGTAATGCGGGATAATGGGGAGAAAAGTAGGGATTTGGAAAACCATCAACATGAAAGAGATTTCATACCTGATCTTACTGCTCTTGGACTTTACTATATCACATAAAGTTTGGGAAGAATGATGGAAGACCAATTCTTTTTTCTCATTACAATAATGAGACTGCCTTTTCCCTTGAAAAATGAAGCTATTTAAAGCATCCAGGCCCTAGAATACTTGATGCATATGTACGTGTTTCTATTTAATTATCTCCTTCCTGAGGTTATTGTATAATTTATATTATAAGTTGGGTGTTAAATAAAATTTCTCAGCACACATTACTGAAACAGGAAGAATGCAGTGTTATTGAAAATTGCAAGTTATTTTTTACCTAGCTGCCTGTGGCTATAAAGAGATGCTTTGTGAGGTCGTAGTTTATAGTTTCCTTTATAAAGTCAAATAAATAGCAAGTCTAAAAATCTTCAAAGTGTACTTCTTCATTCTTCTTTAGGATGTGGATACTGCTATTGTTTCAGATACTACAGATGACTTGTGGTTCCTCAATGAAACTACTTCAGATAACTTCAGTGTCACAGTCCCATCAAAAATAGTTGATTGTGAACAAGTTAATGAAGAAAGAAAAGAAGATAATAAAGTAGTAAGTCCCAATAATTGGAAGATATCTGTTAAATGAGTATAACTTATTTATTTAATCCCACCTTTATTATTTTTACAAATAATTCAATGCAGCAAACGTATTCCACACAGCTTCCTTCTCCTACTTTCTCCACAACAACCCTGTGAGGTGAGTTGGGCTGAAAGTAACCAGCCCAAGGTCACCCAAATGACTTTTGTGTTTAAGGCAGGACTAGAACTCGTGGTCTCCAGCTTTCTAGCCTGGTGCCTTAACCACTTAACTAAACTGGACTAACAATCGCACTATTGGTCATATTGCTGTCATAGTCCAATTGCAAAAATAAAACTTTTTCTTTATAGTAAGAAATTAAACATCAGAAAACGTTGATGTAGCTTTTGATCTAAAGCATTGACCAGTGTAATGCTTTTGCACTTACTGTGCTAACATGACAGCATGTTCCTTTTCTGATTTGTATATTATATTTATTTATTATAGATGAGTGAAACAGCATCTTGTGATGACCTTGAAGATTCTCAGTTTTTAAGTGATGATACAGATACTGATATTCCCTCTGAGGTACCTTTTTAGATTTAGTGTACTTGATTTGATTATAATGTTTATGGTTACAAGCTTAGTATAATTTGTTAAAACAGCTTTTTCAGTACTTAAGAGATAGAAACCAATAGTTCTCATTACTGTTGTTTTTTATTGGACCATCTGAAGTAATGAAAAATAACTGTCTTGTCTAATTGACCTAAAGAAATTCAGGGTAATCATTCAGTCATTTTATGCTTCTTTTAATTTTTCAACTTTCTGCATCATTCTTCCATTTCATTGATCGCTGGATCTGATATTCAGGTAGTCTTCAGTTTATGACAGTTCATTTCATGACTGTTTGAAGTTACAATGGTGCTGAAAAATTGTCCTATAAACAGTTCTTGCACTTAAATCACAGCGTAAGTGGTCATATGTTTAAAATTCAGGCAGTTGGCAAACAGTATGTATTTACAAAATTCCATTGTCTTGGGGTCATTGTGATCACTATTTGCAAACTTCCCAGAGGTCTTCCAACAAGTAAGTCAATGGGGGAAGCTGGATTCATTTATCCACAATGATTCACTTAATGACTGTTACAAAAGGCCATTAAAATCATCTGTAACCCACATAACCACTTAAATGATGGAAGTTCTGGGCCCATTTATTGTTATTAGTTGAGGGTTATCCCTACCTAACTTTTTTGCTCACACTTCTGTGACTTCAGATCAGTTTTCAATAAATAGCTGAAATGTTGGCATAAGCAAACTAATGGTTTTAGAAAGTTTTTTTTAAATAGTCACTGACTGTATTTGTGTACTTGTGCAGAGGTGGAACTGAAATGTTCTGGAGCTGAGACAAATTGGTGACAACGCTTCTTATTTTGCTCATTGTACATCCCTATAGCAGCACTTCTTAATTCTGCTTAGTTATCTCCTGATTACTATAGCTTTAACAATGATTTGGATAGTGTACTTTAGAAGAAAAGATAATGCAGGTGAATGAACTTAATATCCCTGTTGTTTCTCTCCCCCCCCCCCCCCCCACACACACACAATTAACTTTTTTGTGGCATATAAGAAATAAATTAGGTGAATGGAAGGAGGGGCTGGAGAAAGGGCTGGGATGTAAGGACGAGAAAGCAGAAACATTTATCTTTATATTTCTCCCCATGGTCTGATTAGCAAAGGGCCTGGAAGGCATGTGTTAAGTAGATCTATATGAGGCTTGAAAATCAAAATCTTGTCAAGTGCTCATCAGTGATTCCTCATCAGTGAACTAAAGTATTAGGCTTTGTGTTCTGGTCCCAATAGCTTTCAACATTTTGATGAAGGGGTTGGATAAATAAATGGAAGGCAGGCAGGAACATGACATAAAGCTGGCTAGGCTATCTCAGGCCTGCACCACGTGTGGTCCCCAGACTGCATGCAGCAGCCTGCCAAACAGCTTTGTGCAGCCTGTCAGGTTTTTTTAAATAGCTGATCCAGTGGTATCACAGTCACCAGGAAGACCTGCAGCCTTTCACATCCACATCCACTCTGAAAGACATACTACTGAGTGCTTCTGGCAGTCTCGTGGACACTGCCAACTCCTTTGCTGCCACCCTGGGGCTTGCTGCTGAAAGCTGATTGGCATAGCAGCAATTCCTTGTGGGCCATAATTTTTAAGATATTAATCTGGTCTTTTCTCTGTATAAATTGTGCAGACTAGCTAATATTTTAAAAGATATAAACCCAATTCAAAATTATCTTGGTAGGCTGTTTTCCTAGTGGAAATAACAGAATGAAATTCAACATTATACAATGGATATGAAATATTTTAGACCACCATAATGATATTCCAGTGAAACAGGTTTTTTGCTATTATACCTTGAATGTTTCTCTGCCTACATTTCTTTACCTACACTTGATTCTGTGGCAGATGGGTTTATTTAGGAGCCCTGGTTGCGCAATGGTTAGAATGTAGTACTGAAAGCTAACTCTGCCCACAGCCTGGAGTTCAATCCTGACAGGCTCAGGGTTGACTCAGCCTTCCATCCTTCTGAGTTGGTAAAATGAGAACCCACATTGTTGGGAGCAATATGCTTAGATTGTAAATCACTCAAGAGAGTGCTATAAAGCAGTGGTGGCCAACCAGTGGGCCGGGGACCAGTGGTGGTCTGCGAGAAAATTTTGATGGTCTGCAGAAAAGTCACCCCCCCAAAGCAATTAATCCAGGTTGCGCGGGAACACAAGGCTGCGCTACCCACATGGCCCATGGGAACACAAGGATTGCGTTGCTTGCATTGAGGGGGAAACTTGCCCCACTCACTCCACGCCTGGCCACCGGGCTGCTTCTTTCCACTTCTTTCTTCTGCTTTTGGCTGCAAGCAAGGAAAGCAGCAAAAGTCTTTCTTTCTCTCCCCCAAACTCTACCAGAAATGAGTCTTTGGGACCCTGCAAGGCCTCCTGCTCCAAGAGGTTGCGCCAGCAAAGACTCATGTCTGGCGGAGTTTGGGGCAGAGAAAGAAAGACTGCTGCTGCTTCGGCTGCTGTCCTTGCATGAAGCCAAAAGTCTCTCTCTCTCCCCGAGAACAGAGCTGCAGACGGTATCCTGCTATCCCAAATAAAGAATGATCGATCGGAAGGAAAACGGGGTGGGGAATTTCCTGCAGACTCTTTTTTGGGATTTTCCCAGGGTCTGTGGTCCGCGGGATGTAAAATTATGAGTTTGGTGGTCCCTGAGGTCCAAAAGATTGGCGACCCCTGCTATAAAGCACTATGGAGAAGTATATAAGTCCAAGGGCTATTGCTATTACTGTTATTTATTTATGCATTCATTCAGCTTAGAGGCTGCCTCACTCATTCTAGTGGCTAGTAATTAAAAAGTAAAAACTAAGAATCATACTACAGAATAAAATAACATCCAGCAAGGGCTCAGCCATCATTAGTGGTGGGATTCAATTTTTTTTTACTACTGGTTCTGTGGGGCATGGCTTGGTGGGCATAGCAGGGGAAGGATACTGTAAAATCTCCAGTCAGAGGTATTATTTGCCGGTTCTCTGAACTACTCAAAATTTCTGCTACTGGTTCTCCAGAACTGGTCAGAACCTGCTGAATACTACCTCTGGGATCATACCCTGAGAGAATAGCCTGGTCTTCAGTAGGTCCTGAACATCATCAGGGTGGAAGCCATCCAGTTCTTGGAGTGTGTGTGTTGAGTGGGAGCAGGTACTGAGGCAGATGATATACTTCTTGGATCCTGCTAGTTGACACTGCTTGTAATTAATGGGACCAGAAGTGTTTCTACTCTCACTTGATGGAAAGATATAGTAGGAGACAAGTCTATGCAGTGTGTTAAGACAGGAAAGGTACATTGGCACAGTAGCTGTACTTCTACAAGTCAACAGTGTAACCCACTGTTAAAAAGGAAAATGCAACTTTAGCTCACATCAATCGAACATTGTTTTTAATAGTGGTTAGCAAATACAAGAAAATACAGATTTTCCACTGAAATATGTATTAGATAGATCCCATCAGAATACTGCATTCTGTTCTGGCCACTATACTTTAAATATTTTTCAGAAAAACAGATATATGTGCATTAAAGAAGGTGAGAATGATTGAGGGCTGAAAACTTAATTAGGACACTGAGAATTAAATTTAATGGTGAAAAAAGATAACTGACAGCACTTTTGAAGTACCTGAAGCCAAAAGATGCAAGTGAATATCAAAACTATCATCCAAGAGTGTAAGATGTAGAACAATGATCTCATTTTATAGGAAAAAGATTCTGGTTGAATGTTAGGAAAAACATCTTAATAGTAAGTGCAGTTAACTAGTGGAGCAAATTGCTAATCAACATTCTGTGGTCAAGCACAGCGTGAAGAGCCCTCTGTATGGAGATGTTTAAAAATGAATTCCTGCATTAAACAGGGTTGGATTAGCTGGCCCAAGTATCTGTTTGAGGTTGGAGTATGTGTTATCTATATTGCAAATCAAGCTTTGTTTATTAACTATATTTTGCAGTATGTATCGTCTTGACAAACTTGCCATTGGTCAGATAAATTATAAGTTTCAAACTCAAAAGCCATCCCTCTTGTATGTAGAGTAAGCAAGTAAGCCACCATCAATTGTGTAGTTTCAGCACATTTTATACTATAATGGAGGCTGAGAAATTCATTAAATGTCTTTTGAATTTAGAATGTGATACTAAGAATTTTGTGTAGTAAAATGAAATTCTAGAATAGAAATGAAAGTGAAATTCATGGGAAAAGGGCTTCTTAATCAGAGATTGACTTCAGTGTTTTAAATAAACAAATTAGAATATTGACTGGTTTTAATTGAGGGACTAAATGGGCCACTATTGAAAGCACTTGCGTTCTTTCTCCTTACAGAAGGAGAAAAACTATATATGAATCAATATAATTGGTTTGACTGCTTCTTTTCATTCAGCAGGACAGTTGGCAGTGTGTCAAATGCAAGAAGTTCAATTCTCCCATTAAAAGGTATTGCTTCCGCTGCTGGGCCTTAAGGAAAGACTGGTTCTCTGATTGTCCCAAGCTAATACCATCACTGTCTACATCCAACATTGCTATAATACACGGTAAAGAAGACCTGAAAGGCATAGACGTTCCAGATTGCCGAAGGACAGTATCTGCTCCAATTGTACGGCCTAAAGACTTATGCAGTTCAGTGGTCAAGCCCAACCTGTCCTCTAAAAGCTCTATGGATTCTTTGGATCTAGCCCTGGGATGTAAAGACAAAGAACCCTCTCTGCGGCTTCTTAAGTGCACAGAAAAAGAAGTGCAACCTCTTGAAAATAGCAAAGAATTAATGAAGCCTTGCCTTGTGTGCCTGAAGAGGCCGCGGAATGGGAACATTATCCATGGAAGGACAGCTCACTTGGTGGCCTGTTTCACATGTGCAAAACGATTGAAGAAAGAACGTTCAGTTTGCCCAGTCTGTAAAAAACAGATTCAGATGGTGGTTAAGACATTCATAACATAGCTGTGTTATTGTATAATGTCTATAGCATCCAAACAAATAACACAGCTATGTTATGAATGTCTTCATAACATAGCTGTGTTATTTGTTTGGATGCTATAGACATTTGGTATTCAGCTATTATAAGAAAATTCTGCATGGTCCCAGAGTGCTATTCAAGGAAAGTAAATAATATATTTTATTCTGAACTTGTGAAAGGAAGAATTTATTTCTCATCATTAAATATAACACAAAAACATATCTACTATGAATCTATTTCTTAGCTATTTCAATTTTGGAAAACAGCTGAAATAAATTGGAATTTTAAAAGTTTTGTTTGTTATCACAGTTCATACTTAGACCATGTGATAGCTGTAAGTTAAGTAATATGTTTGTAAAGATGCTGTAAAACTGTAAAATCCACAAATATCATGCTGAACGTTGCCAATATGTTTTTTTCTTATTTCTAAAGCATATAATTTTGCACAGTGCTTGTAAGTAAAGAAGAAATTTGTAGAAATATGAAAAAGCTACTGTGTTTCCCTGAAAACAAGACCTATCCCAAAAATAAGCTTGATGTTTACACTTTCACCCAATATAAACCCTACTCCACCAAAATAAGCCCTAGTTAAGACCTTGCCCACTCCATTGCACCTGGTTGCATGGGGTAAGGCGAGGCGCACAGGTAAAAAGCGAGGGGGATGGGGAGGGATGGAGCTGCTTACCTTCAGACAGTTGCAGCCAGGCCTCACACACCCCGACACCTGCCTCGCCTTGCCTTGCGTTGCCCACTTCTGCTGCTGCTGCTTGCGTGCATTGCACCTAGTCTCCGTTTCACTATCGGAGGCCTTCAGGAAAGACCTCTGCAGCCAAGAAAAGAGCTCTGGATTGACGTGCGCATCAATCCGGAGCTCATTTCTTGGCTGCAGCAAAACAGATAGCGAAATGGAAGCTGGGGGCACCATGTGCGCAAGTCTGGAGCTTGTTTCTCAGCTACAGAGGCCTTTCCTGAAGGCCTCTGTTAGCGAAACGAGGCCAGGGGTGCCGTATGTGTCAATCCGGAGCCCGTTTCTCAGCTGCAGAGGCCTTTTCTGAAGACCTCTGATGGCGAAATGGAGGCCGGGGTGACATGCATGAGTGGGCCGGCAGCAGCCACTCGGGCTGGGCGGGGCTGTCCGTGTTGCTGCAGCGAGGGGAGTCAGTGGAAGAAATCCCCCCAAAATAAGACCTGGTACCTTTTTTGGTGGCAGAAAAAGGACTGGGTCTTATTTTCGGGGAAACATGGTATATAAGTGATGGGTTTGCAACCTATTAGAAATTATAGATATACCAGTTCAAGGCTTTATTTGAACATTGCTCTTTACAAAAATCTCTGTTCAGGAGCTAATATACCCAGATCTTCTGATGTTCCTATGATAGATAGTAGAAGAACATTCTATATTAAAACTGTGAAAATTCTCTCTCAAGAGAGAGAACAGTAGATGCTCACTGAAACAATGTTGTGTATAGCGGCAGTGGATTATAAGTTTGTGAAAGTAGTGCAGTATTTCTCCATAGAGAAATGCATTTTTCCCTTTATGCTCACATGGAAACTTTAAAAAGTGGTGCAATTTGTTTTTAATTCCTTCTGACTTCCTTAAGCCAAATTTAAGTTGCTTTTTGCTTCTTCTATGTTCCAAGTCCTTTTCTGTTGGAAGACAGTGATACTGGTGACTTTGATTTTGGGAAGTAAACATGTTTTCCATCAACTCTTAACTTCCCATTAACTCTTGCTATATGCCTTCATTGCATATTTTGTCAAGGTGCTTAACTCATGCATTTGGTAGAATGGCATGTGATTTTATGGACTCATTTTGAAATAGTTATTTAAGAAAAATCCTTACTGTATGCACAATAAAATATCTTATTTACTGGAGCTGCTTCTTCTTTCATAATAATCAAAACAGGTTGACAACTTGCATGGTAAACCTTTTAAAATAATTGAGAGCATTCCTTCAATGCCAGGTGGATACTACAGGTAGGATACTATATCCAGAAAAGATGTAACAAAAAAATAATCTGTTCCATAGTTCTCCCCTCCTACATGGTTTTCATTTTGTTGTGAGTTTCTACATCCTTATTCAACATATTGGATTTTACTGGTAGAGTTCATAAAATGTGTAAACAATAGGTGTTATGAAGAGAAAATTCAGTGACACTTTCAGAACTATGAATTCTTTCTACTGTTGAACAGCTGCTATTTAAGAAGATTATAGGCTGGGAATAGTCTTTTTTTGTAGATGATTTTGTAATGATTTTAGGTGTACATATTTTAGCGTTACAGTATTAATAATGCAATTATATATAAAACATGTAATGCTGTCTACCAATATGATTTTGTAATGTGACACTTAGAAAGGGTTGGCTATCTGAACATTTTCATCTTAATTTCAAAACAATTACCGAGTTGCAGACAAGATAACTTACAAGATAAACTAGTGCGCAGCAAACCTTTGTAGCTAGAATTGTTAAATAACTTAATAATTCAGCCAGAGAGGCAGTCTCAGCAAATATTGTTCCCGTTAAAGGGAAATCTGAAAACTTTAAAGAGTGATCAGTTGCTCCAGCTGTGTGCCATAATTTATTATCTTCAAACACCACCATACTTCAGCTGTGGAATAATTGGACTTTTTGCTGTGCCACTGTCATTCATCACCACCTATGAAATAGCCAATTCTGTAATGGTAGTCATAGAAGTTGGTAACTACATCACAAAGCTGGCAACCAAAAGGATTGGGTATTGGAGATGGAAACCGAAAGAGATCCATCTGCATACGATACAGTACCATGAGTGTTACGTTATGGCTTGGAAAAGCCACATCCTCTCAGTTCTGAAGTTAATACAGTAGTCTGATTAAGTTCATAAACTGATTAAAATGTGGAAACTGTATGACAACCTGCTTCTAGCAAAAAGATTAAAAACACAGTTTTAAAACTTTAGTTAATATAAACATTTGATGAACAGTCGAGATGATAAAACAAATACTTATTAAAACTGCAAAAGCATGCTGGTGTTTCTTTGATAGAAGGTTTGCAACTATGCAGAACAAAATTTGCATTTTTCTCTGTCCTCAGATTATATTACTAGATTGGGCAAAATAGTTTTAACAAACACTGCCTTTATGTTGCGTACTAACAATTTGCAGAAATGAAGATTTGAATAATAAAACAGTAGTTTTATTCTAGAAAAACATAGGTACTAACCATAAATGTGCCTTCTATTGTTTTTGAAGTAAGATTTTAGTCTGATCTATGCCCAGCTTTGGGTTCAGGAAATAATTTTTAAAAATTTGGATTAGTTTTGTTTTAACTGTATCATCACTCTAGTGACACATTGGTGGATATCTTCAGGTACCTGAATCAGTGCTTTTTGAAGGCTGCAGACTGAAGATACGGATTCCAGCAATACTCTGCTGAAATTGGTAAGACTATTTGTGAGGATAGTTGCATTTATGCAAGATTTATGTGCAGTCCCCAGTAAGGTATATCAATATATCAATCCTTTTGCTGAATATATATTTTAGGATAAATATTTTTTGTCTTTCTAACCAGGTTTTTAAAAATACTGTTAGCATTTATGTGTACTGCATCAAAATAATTTTATCCATTGAAATTGATATGTTGTTGACACGTCAATGAATAATATAAGCTTGTAGTCATTCATTCAGTTATTTTTATTTCTATTAAAGTGGAACCAGGTGTAATATGTAAAAAAAAAAGACCTTTTAACCCTAATAAGGGCTTAGTCAAAGTGTAAAAGGAATTTGCTAAGAAGAAATTTTCAGTTGTTTAGGAAATTCATGGGGATGAGCTATTTAATATATATAGTCTTTTTTGTAGCAAATGGAGCTTAGTCAATATACAAGAGAAGTTTGACAAGAAGAAATTTTTATCTGCTAGGGCAGTAGTGGCTAACCTTTTTGGGCTCCTGTGCCAAAAGTTGCCAGCGCACCAGCGCACCTGCACTTGCGAGCCAGCACCCAAAATGCAATGCACGCTCCCCCTCCCCATGCCCCCTGCGCATGTGCTAGCAATCCCCCATCTCCTTACCTGCACTGTGCCTCGGCTGGTTTGAGGCCTTTTTCGGCCTCCCAGAGGCAAGGCTTCTCATACTGAATTATAGGCCCATTTTGTCACTTCCGGTATTACAGGAGGTGACGAAACGGGCCTCTAACTCTGAGAAGCCTTGCAGAGGCTTTTTCCAAGCCTCTGGGAGGCCGAAAAAGGCCTCAAACCAACTGGGGAAAAAAAATCAGCTGTGAGGCGTGCACATGCGCAGTAAGGTAAGTTTGCCTGCGGCTTGCGTGCCAGCACAAATGGCTCTGCGTGTCACTTGTGGCACGTGTGCTATAGGTTTGCCATTACGGTGCTAGGGAGATTCATGGGAATGAGCTTCTTAATACATATTGCCTTTTTTAGTAGCAAAAGTGTTACAGGCCAACAAATACAACACAGAGATTCAGACTCCTGATTTCACCAAAAGTTGTAATGGTTTCTTGGATGAAATCTTTAAGTTGAAAACTTTTTTGAATAAAGTTCAAGAACTTATGTTAATTTCTGTAATTCTTTGACAAATAATTTCCATGATTTAGATTCAATTCTCCCTTTATCTCTAAATGTAAAAGGAAAATTCCATATAAACAATCTTATTTCCTAAAAAAAAAGGTTTGCTGCCTGCATTTACAACTAGATGGCAGCAACTTCATTCAAGATACAATCACATGAAATATAGCACTTATACATTAAGCTAGGAATCGTGAGTTCAGTAGTATGAATATTTGTATAATAGTTCTGTGAGGATATCTAATTGTAGTGTGTATCTATTATGTGTATCTTAAGTTTCTGCTAAACCCTTCCCAAATGGCGTTATTAGGGTTAAACTAATCAACAGTTAGAACATTATCTCTATCCAATGAAAATTGGCAAGCAATACTTCAAATTTAAGAGTTTTAAGCTTCTGGAATTTGAGTTTATTAGAACAGTCCAATTAAAATGTTGCTTTATGATGTGGGTATACATATCTATGCAGAAAGGTAAAATATTCCATTATATATTTTTGTGGGGGGCATTTTTTTATTGCTTAGATAACCGGTTTGATGTAATGGTTAAAGGTACCAGGCTGAAATTGGGAAGATTTAAGTTCTAACCCTGCCTTGGGAATGAAGCCAGTTGGGTGACTTTGGGCCAGTCATTTTCTCTGAGCCCTAAGAATGAGGCAATGGTTAACCTTTCCTGAAAACATTGCCAAAAACCCCCACATGGACTTGTTGGCAGTTGTCTGGAATTAAGACTGACTCAAAGATACAATTTGAAAATTATGTTGCTTAATATGAAAATACAGTATATCCACTTCAAAGGCTACGCTTAATCAGGAAATACTAGTCTATGTGGCGGCAATGGGAAACAATGCCAGATTAATGACAGAAGTTTATTTTGATTTTATGTAGTTTCAGGTGGACTCTATAAACGGAGAGAAGGGAATGGGAAAAATCAATGATCCAGTGGATACCTGCTGTGAAAAAGAACCATATTGATATTAGCAAAGGAATCTTAACAATTACAACATTATAAAGTTATTTAAATACTGCATATGGTTGAAAACAATGCTGTGTACTGCATTTCTTGGAGATGAAGATGTAGAAATGTTGTAAAGATGTTGAGACTCTAGAAAGAGTGCAGAGAAGAGCTACAAAGATGATTAGGGGACTGGAGGCTAAAACAAAGAACAGTTACTGGAATTTGGTTTGTCTAGTAGTTTAATGAAAAGGACTAGGGGTGACATGATAGCAGTGTTCCGGTATCTCAAAGGTTGCTACAAAAAGAGGGAGTCAAGCTATTCTGCAAAGCACCTGAGGGCAGGACAAGAAGCAATGGATGGAAATTAATCAAGGAGAAAAGCAACGTAGAACTAAGAAGACATTTCCTGACAGAATAAATAATCAGTGGAACAACTTGCCTCCAGAAGTTGTGAATGCTCCAACACGGGAAATCTTTAAGAAGACATTGGACAACCATTTGTCTGAAATAGTATAAGGTTTGCTGCCTAAGCAGGGGGTTGAACTTGAAGACCTCCAAGATCCCTTCCAACTCTGTTTATTCTGTCCTGTCCTATACTATCCTAAATTACTATTTGTGGAAAAGTTGTTATGTTGGGCAGTTTTAGCATAGGGGGAAAAAACAATTAAAGCAGAAATGTGTGTAAAGGCAATGCATAATGTTCAGAACATGGATAGTGAGAGGCTTCTTGTGTGTGCATCCAGAATAGATGGGTCTGGATTATCCTATCATTTAACTTGATGGAGATTTACAACAGGTGGATTAATTTATTACATCATTACAGGTTTCTCCACGACAACCTGTAGCGATAGTTGCCAACTTGGGCAGCTTTCAAAGACAGATTTATATAAAGTTAAGTCCACCAGTGGCTAATAATCATGACAGCTATATTTCACCTGAGGTATATGAAGAATAATGCCTCTTTATACTTTTTAAAATATACTGAGTTTTTAACAAAAAAAAAACTGCAGAAAAAAGCCTCTGTGATGCCTTTGATTTCTTTTATATTATTATGGCCTTGCCTCCACCACTTCTAGCAATCCCAGCAATAAGGCAAAAAGAATTTTAAAGAGTTTGGTTTTAAACAGATGGTTTCTGAAGAGTTTGGTAGCTGATATTGTTCTTCAGATACCTTCAGTTATGCAGAAATGCAAAGGTAAAACATTTCTTGGCAGAGGCTCCCCAATTGTAGACGAAATACCAAAACTGCTGTCATGTTAGCAAATCAACATTCTTACCATTCTATCTGGGCACATTAATGTGGTTTGTGATATTTGTTTAACTGAGGAAACAAATTTGAGTATGTTTGATCTTTCATAG